AGATCAGTAATCAGAACATATATTGTACAGAAATGTGCATGGAAAAAAATTAAGGGCTGTAGAGATGGCTCAGTGGGTACTGTGCTTACTATATGAGGACCAAAACTGGGCTGCTCAGAACACATTAATTCCATTTTCTGTACAACATATCCAATCATGTCAAACTCAGCAATGCTATGGGCACACACTGTTAATTTCTTTAACATTTATTTATTTGGGGAGGGCATGTGCCACAGACTGTATGTGTTCAGAGGACAAGCTACAAGACTCTGTTCTGGTTCTCTCTTGCGATGTGAGTTGCAGGGATTGAACACAGTCGGGCAGCAAGCACCTTTACCCACTGAGCCATCTTACCATTCCTACTTTCCTTAGTTTTAGAAAAGAGGTATCACCTTTTACACACATATGTGTATTTATGTATATGAATTCTTCCTATGACTCAGTTTAGTCATTGGCAGCACCTTTCTTATTGAACAGCCCAGAAAACAAGTAACCCCTTTTTTACATGAATGCTCCACAGCTTCCTATGTACATGTATGACTTCATCAAGCAAATGTTTTCTTTTATCTGTTATTTTTTCATTTATTCATTCATTTTGTGTCTGTGTATCTGTGTATGTGTATATGTACATAGGTGCACATGTAGCACTCCACCTGTATGGAAATCAGAGAACAATTCTGTGTAGTCAGTTCTCTCCTTCTACCACATGGGTTCCCAGAGATTCAACTCAAGTCCTCAGGCGTAGTGACAAGCACCCTTATGTACTAATAAATCTCAATAGCCAGTATTTTTATTTCAAGGACAAGCACTTTTAGATCTTTCAGCTCATGTTTGCATTTTATTATTTCTTTTGTAAAAATTCATTTATTTATTTTGTGTATGTTTGTCTGTACTGTTTTTTGTTGTTCATTTTCCTATGTGTTTGGTACACAGGACTTTGTGTGCATGTGGAGGCCACAAGGCAACTATCGATACCTTTCTCAAGACCCTTCACCTTGTTTTAGAGACAACGTCTTTCACAAAGACCTCATACTATAACATTAGGCTAGCCTAGCTGGCCAGCAAATTCCAGGGATCCACCTGTCTGTCACCACAGCTCTGGGATTAGAAGCATTTGCCAACACATCTGGACTTTTATGTAGGATGTATAGCTCAAACTTATGTCCTCACGCTTGTGAATAAAGCACTTTCCTCACTGAGCTTTCCCCCATGCCTCAAAGTTGTTTTTAAAGATTGGAAATGCAAAATTCAAGCCAATAATTTTAGATATGTATCAGTAGTCACCGAATATTATTGCACACATGCAAAGCATTGTAAAATAGATAAATCTGTGTGTGGTTTACTCTTAGTGACTGCACGCTTCCTTGACAATGCTTTTGCTTATACTCATTGGCTTCCATTGATTTTCTTGTACTTGTGTGTTTACAATCAACCCTATTTTAATGTTTCATATCAATTAACTCATTCTGTCATAAATGTTTGAAAGAATGAGTACTCTGTGTAGGTAAAACTTTTATTTTTCCATTAAGAGAAGGATTATGGGGGCACAGGTAGGCAGATCTCTGTGAGACTGAGGCCAGCCTGGTCTACATAGTAAGGTCCAGGCAGGCTGAGACTTGGGAGACCTATCAAAAAGAGCAATCAAAAATAAAACTGATCAGTCAATCAAAGAAGGTGCACTATATCGTGCCAGAATCAACTTAGACACCCAAGTTCTGCAAGACTGTACTCTGGCCTAATACAATTTCACTTTTTAAAAAGATTTATTTTCCTTTTATGTTTATGAATTTTTGCCTTTCATATATGTATATAAGTGGGCTATGTGTGGGCTTGGTGCCCACAGACACCAGAAAGAGTGCTTCGGATCCTCTGAAACTGGAATTGCTGTTAATTGTGAGCCACCATATTGAGTGCTAGGAATAGAACCCAGGTACTTTGCAAGAAAGGAAGTGCTTTTAA